CTTGTGCGTAAAATCGTATCCCCTCAGAGTTTGTTCAAGTCCCCAAACCTCTGTCTGTGACGGAGCCCCTCAGACATGGCTCCTCTAGTCACTAGCAGATTCCGACAGTGGTTGCGTTCGTCATCGCTTCCAACAGAAAAGCTCCTTCACGGAACGACGTCTTCTGGACCCTCTGCGTGTCAGTTTCCGGCGAGGAGTGGGTGTCCCTACAGGAGGTCCTGAAACCTCCCCACTGTTTTCGCTGGAAGTGTCTCTGAGCCATCCCTCCAGCTCACTTTCCCTCCGCTCAGCTCCTCTCCCCCTACTGGTTCCCTCTTCAGCTGCTGAGTCTCTCCCACCCTGTGTGAGCCCTTTCACCTCCCTTCCGTCCGATGGCAGTTCCCTGACATCCACCTCCCCTCCAGGGCCCCCTTCACCCCCTCTCGCCCCCTCCTCTACGGGCGGTGAGGAGGCAAAACCCAGGAATGAACTTCCTTCATCTTCCGATGTCTCGAACACTTCTCTCCACCTGTTGCGGTTCCTGGTCTCGAAGTACTCCTCCTCCTCAGAGTCCATCTCCCCTTCCCCTTCCGAGTCCGGGAAGCCTTCCAACTCCTCCTCCTCATCAGTGGTCCCAAAGTATTCCCTCCGGAACCTCTCCACAGGCTGAGGTTTCCTTGGGAACCTTTGATGGAACGTTTCTATCAATACCTCGTCATTGATATCTCGGCCATTACCCAAGTGTTTTCTGACTCCGGTTCTCCTTCCCACGCTACCAAATACTCCACCTGATTCCCCTTCCACCTGGCGTCGAGGATTTCTGCCACATGGCTGCTGCATTCTCTTTCTTCTATGACCGGTCCCAGTGGCCATCCCTTCTCGTCCCCCTTCGTACGGTGACAGTAACGACCTGTGAAATACTGGGTGCAGTTTCATGTGGTTGGGTAACCGGAGCCTGAAAGCCACTGGGTTGACCTGTTGAATGACCTCAAAGGGACCCAACCTCCTGGGTCTTAATTTCTTACAACCTCCTTCGAGCAGCAGCCCTTGGGTTGACAGCCACACCCTATCTCCCACCCTTATGGTTTCACCTTCCCTTCGGTTCTTGTCTGCTTGCCTCTTGTATTCTTCCTTCGCCCTTTCTAAGTTGAGTTGGAGCTGACAATGGATTGCTTCCATTTCTTCTACAAAATGCTCGGCTGCCGGGACGCTCCATCTCTCCCCATCGCCCCCTGGGAAAGCCCTGGGATGACACCCATAATTAGCCAAGAAGGGGCTCATCCCTGTGGACACATTCTCGGCATTGTTGTAGGCAAATTCCGCCAGCGCCAACTTTTCTACCCAGTCATTCTCTCTGTCATTGACATAACACCTCAGGTATTGCTGGAGGACACCGTTTGCTCTTTCCGCCTGCCCGTTGGTTTCAGGGTGCCGGGCAGTCGAAAAATTGACCTCCACCTGCAGTAAGCTCATGAGCTTCCTCCAGAACCTGGAAGTAAATTGTTTTCCTCGGTCTGAGACCACCCTCAATGGCACCCCGTGCAACCTAAAAATGTGTTCTACAAATAACTTCGCTGTCTCTTCCGCCGTGACTGCATGCGAGCAAGCTACAAAGTGGCACATCTTTGTTAGTAGGTCCACCACCACCATGATGGCTGTTTTCCCTTTGGACTTCGGCAGATCAGTCATAAAATCTATCGACACTGCCTCCCAAGGTCGTTCTGGGGTTGGTAAGGGTTCTAATAGCCCCGCCGGCGCCCGCCTTTCCCCTTTGGCTCGCTGGCATTGCTCGCACCCTCTTACATACTCACGTACATCTTCCCTCACCTTGGGCCACCAAAATTCCCTGGTGACCAACCACATGGTTTGTGTTGTCCAAAATGCCCCGCCGTAGGGCTGTCGTGCAACTGCTTGAGTACCCTCCCCTTAAGTCTCCTTCAGGGATATACAGTGCCCCTTTGTAATACAAAGCTCCATTTCTTTCCTCGAAACCCCTGGTTCCTCTCCCTCACCCCTAAGACCTCTGAGCTTATTCTGGGCGTATTCATCATTCTCTGTTTCCTCTACCAGTTCTCTTTGTCCCACCAATGCCGCCCCACACACCCAGCGGTCCTCTGGAATGACATGTCTCTCTTCGGGTGCTCCCTCCCCCTCCAAATATTCAGGTTTGCGTGAGAGAGCGTCCGCCCTAATGTTCTCTGGGCCTGGCACGTAACAAATCTCAAAGTTAAATTTGGAGAACTCCTGGGCCCATCTCACTTGCCGTTGGTTGAGCACTCGTGCCGTCCTCCAATACTCTAGGTTCTTGTGGTCAGTGCACACTTGCACCTTATGTTGTGCGCCAATTAGCAGGTGCCTCCATCTCCGGAACGCCTCATGAATGGCTAGTAGTTCTCGGTCATACACCGTGTAGTTCCTCTCGGATTTGTTCAGCTTTCGCGAAAAAAGGCACTACGGTCTCCACTCTGACTCCTCCTTGCCTGGCTGCAGAAGCACCGCCCCAATCGCTCTGTCTGATGCGTCAGTTTCCACTCTCATCGGTTTTTGTAAATCCACATGCAGGAGTTGTTGTTCCGAGGCGAAGGCCCTTTTTAGTTCCTCAAATGCTCGCTCCGCCTCCTCAGTCCAACCGAACTTCTTCTTACTGCTGAGACAGTCCGTAATGGGCGCCGTCAGGTGGGCAAAGTTTCGGATGAACTTACGATAGAAGTTCCCAAATCCTAGGAACCTCTGCACATCCTTCCTTGTTTTGGGTGTTTTCCATTCCAGCACCGCCTGGACCTTGCCGGGATCCATGGCCAATCCCTTGTCTGACAGGCGATACCCCAGGAATTCCACCTCCTTGGTATGAAACTGACACTTCTCCAGTTTCACCCACAGCTGGTTGGCTTGCAGCCTGCTCAACACTTCTCTGACGTCTCTCACATGCTGCTCCTCATTCTCAGAATACACCAACACGTCGTCTAAAAGGCCACACAATTCTTGTAAAGCAAAGGCCCCAGGACGTGGTTCATAAACGATTGAAAGGTTGCGGAGCCTGCTTGTAGGCCGAAGGGCATAACCAAATATTCAAATGCCCCTAAAGGGGTGAACATGGTGGTTTTCCATTCATCCCCCTTCCTTATTCGTACCAGGTTGTACGCCCCCCTTAGGTCCAGCTTTGTGAAAATCTTTCCCTTCCGCACCCTTGTCAAAATGTCGTCAATCCTGGGCATAGGGAAGGCCACTGGTTCTGACACTGCATTTAAGGCCCTGAAGTCACACACCAGCCTCGGCTTGTTCGAGTTTTTATCCACAAAAACACTGGGCTGCCCCCACCGCCCTGGACTCTCTGATGAACCCTCTCTTCAGGTTCTTGTCAATGAACTCTCTTAGCTCCTGCATCTCTCTGTCTGACATGGCGTACAGCTTGCCTACAGGGAGCTGTGCCCCAGGGAGTAAATTGATTTGACAGTCAAAGGGTCTATGCGGGGGTAGTTGGTCAGCTTCCCTTTCGCTGAAGACGTCACGGAGATCTGCATATTGTCGTGGTACCTTCACGTTCTCCGTTACTTCAGTCCCTGCTAGGGTGGCTTGGGCCCCTGCCAAACCCTTTCCCTCTTTGCAGTGTTCTAAGCAATGTGCTGAACCAAAAGAAACCACTCTCTGATGCCAGCCCACCAGCGGATCATGTAACGCTAGCCAGCTCATCCCCAATATAATGGGAGCTCCTCCCAAGGTGGCCACATTAAAAGCTATCAGTTCGGTGTGCCTTGCTACCTTCATTATCATTGGGACGGTCTGCAAGCTGACTTCTCCTCCCAACAGCTCCCTGCCATCGATCGTGGTCACCTGCAGGGGTTGCTTAAAGGATCGTCTGTATCTGGTGTTCAGCTGCAAACTCTTTGCTCATGAAATTGCAGGAGCTGCCTGAGTCCAACAGCGCCTTTATCTTTAGAGGGTGTCCGTTTGGCAGCTCTAGCGTCACTTCTATCACTAGGGCGGGTTTAGGAGGTTCTGGCGTGGGCACTCTCACTGCTCTTTGGCCTGGCTGCTGTGCCCCGACAGTGGCAGCCAGGCGTTGGCTTTTACTTGCTCCGGTATTTCTTCCTCTCTTCCCTCCACAGCTCCTACCATCCCTTGCCATTCCTTCCTCTGGGGGCAGACTCTGGCAAAGTGACCTGGCTGTTGGCAGAGATAGCATTTCCGGGCGCCTTTTCCCTCCTTCTTTCCCACCTCAGTGGGCTTTGAAACTGGGCGCGCGCGCGCTGTTCCGATTTCCATCGGCTCTGCCGGCGGGAAAGTTGGCTCTGGAATGTCTGGAATGCGGAACTCCTTCCAACGTTCCCCTTTCCCTTCCCGCCTCTCCAATGCTCTCGCCTCCTGGCGCGCTCCTATGGTCAGCGCTGATTTGGTCAGCTGGTCCATAGACTCCGCCCTGGGCGCCCGGGAAAGTTCGTCTTTCACAGCCGAAGAAAGCCCTTCTTCAAAGAGCATTTGAATGGGTTCCGCCGATAAGTCCCACCCCAATCTGTGAACCAGCATGGTGAACTCAGTCCAGTACTCACGGACAGATCGGCTCCCCTGTTTGCAAGCCATTAACTGTCTGCGCACCACTCCCTGTTCAATATCGCTGGAAAACATCAGATCCATGGCGCGAAAGAACTTCATCGTGTCCTTTAGGACGTCACTATTCGCTGCCATCAGGGGTCTAACCCAGTCTCTCGCCCCCTTTTCAAGATGCTCAATCACGAAAGCCACTCGTGATTCCTCGTCAGGAATTCATCAAACTGCAGATTGAGGGCATATTGCATCTCTGTCC